CAGCTAAAGGTGACATAGATACTTTATTATGGTATAGTATTTAAATGTACGCCTGAAAAACACATAATATTGCCCCTTTAAAACTGATATCATTATTCTTTGACACTGTTTATTTTTTTGGCTAACCAGCTCTTTAGTGCAGTATTGTTGTTTGCAAAGTGCAGTATAAACAGGTTGATTGATTTGCTGACTGAAAACAACATTTAAAGTGGATATTATCACAGTCTTTAGATTACGTACACCTACTGAAGGATCACTGCAGGTAACAATGTCTGCCASCAGGTGGCAGAGTTGTACAACTTTATTGGGATTAAACGACCAACTATGAGAAAGAAATGACTTTTCTCACATAAGTATCAGTTGCACACCTCTCTGTGGTGGCTGTTTTGATTTGTACTTTTAACATTACTGCTGCTTAATAGAAAAAGTAAGAAGCGCCTTCATGTGTACCTTCGAGGCCTCTTYCTGTATTTTTCCGGGGACTGGGACCTCAGACTGTCTCTGTGACGATATCTCTCTCTGGAAACAAAACAGAGGAGTTAGAAAACATTTACGATCAGATGTCGGGGGGCATTTGGTCTGTCCCCGTACCTGCTGCGGTCCCGGCTCCTGTGTCTGGGGGGAGTCCGTCCTCGGTCATGCTCAGATTTGTGGCGCCCCCCGTCACTTCTCCCCCGCCTGTCGGGACTCCTCCCACGCTCCCTCCGCTCTCCGGGAAACTCCGGCTTGTGTCTGTCRCTGAAAGTATGGCCCTTCTGCCGGTGGTCGTCGTGATGATGATAGCCTTTATCTGGAGACCTCCTCGTGTTCTTGGGCTTCTCATACAAGTACGGCCCCCCATGTCTGATGCCGTGGTCTGGCTGAAAGGGGCCAGGGCTCTGGGCGTAGCTGGGGCTGAAGGTGGGAGGGGGGAAGGGAGGGTTGGGAGGGTAGTTCAAGGAGTACGGCGAGTGGTAGCTCATAGACTGAGAGGCGATGGGGGGAGGCATGGGGGGATGTGGTAAAGGGGGTGGGGGAACAGGTGGCATCATGTAAGACGGGTAGGAGTTCTGAGCAGACACCTGGACCCCTGAAGTGGGACCAGCTGACGAGCTGGGTAACGGAGGGGGTGGGAAATTGGGTGGAGGGTCAGGGAAGCCTTGCCGGGTGAGGGGCTTCGGGAACGGCGGGCGCACTGGGCACTGGTTGGGGGTATTGTGCATCTGGGAGGGTGGCGGAGGAGGGTACTGCATGAAATCTGGATGTGGGGGCATGTAGCCACTGTTTCCATGGTAACCTGAACTGGCCCGGGGATCATAATTGTAGGGCGGAGCAGGAGGCTGAGGGAGGGGAGGCCTCAGGTTGGTGGGCCGGTAGCTTTGAGGGGAACCGTGATGGCCTGGYGGAACTCCTCCTCTTGGACCACCCCGATCTTGATGGAAAGACATGTCTGCAGAGACAAACAAATTAAATCACATTTTGTCCTCATTTCCAAACCTAGAGAGAACAGAACACGATCTATAAACATTTGACACAAGACATGTCAGGGTGAAAGCTAAAAGAGGAAACACAGGTTTACTAAAACAAACCAAAATCTTACTTTTAAAAGTTAAACTGGCACTAAATTAAAGCCGGGTCATATTGGTGACACCTAGAGAAAGGAGCAGCCAAAAGAAAAACAACTTTATTATTATTATCATCCTTTACTTAACCAGGTAAATTCCACTGAGATCACAGATCTCTTCTGATAGGATGACCTGGGATTGAAGTTCAACTTATTGTACATATTTTTGTGCTGTGGGGGAAACCGGAGTACCTGGAGACAACCCACCTAAGCATGAGAATATGCAAATTTCTCACAGAAAGACCCCAGGTCCAAACCGGGAATCAAACCCAGGACCTTCTTGCTGTGAGGCGTCAGAGCTAACCACCCAGAGAAGTTGGCAGACACTAACTTGGGGCTACATAGCTAACTCGTACAAGTTTTAGCATGGTTGTTATTGGGGAAGGTTAATAAATTAAATATATCTTAAACAGATGTGTAAATTTTAACAGGTTAGTTATAATTTTGTAAAAAAAAACATTCATCATTATGAGCATTTTTGCACATAATTACACTTTTCAATTTAGGGAAATCGCTACAACAAAAAGATCTTAAAATTTAAGTGCACAAATAGTTTTAAGACTTGACTTTAGTCTGAACAATTTGTTTTAACTTAAGGAGCTCTGAGTTTCATTGTGAGCATTTGAAAACTGTTTTAATGTCATCATGATGTAAATGCTGCAGCGTTACTAGAAGTTAGCCAGGTGTTGCATAAAAAAAAACGTTCCTCCCTCAAAATTTGTGTCCACACCTGTCCAAGTCTATTGGTTTTACTTTGATTTATTAAGTAGCATTACATACTTTATCCACTATTATTATTTGGATATCACAAGAAAGTTAGAACAATTATTCCCATTGTGATCTAATTCATAATCAAAATGCTAAAGAAAAACACCAGGATCAATACAGAACACGAAGAACAAAAGTGCAATTAAATACCAAAAATCAAAAGATAATCTTGTGTAACATTTATATATTTTGGAACTCATAGGAAGTGTGTGTGTGGGGGGGGGGGGTTGGCTCTTGCAATTAAATTAGGACATGATGTTTTTGCAATGAACTGTGCCTCGCCGGGTGATCATTCAATGCTCTAGCTCCAAGAGGACTGTCCAAAAGGTTTTTATAGAAGGTCTACATGAAGAAGTCTGCGAGTTTTGCATTCATCAGGGTCTGTTCCACCTGTTACAAATGACAAATTTTGACCAAATTTTGTCTTTACCTCGTGATATCAACCACGAGGAACGACTCGGCCGAATGGCTTTAACAGTATTGTGTATTCTTATGTTACTACTGAGCACAGAGGACGTGAGCTACAATGGGTGTCCTCTGCTAAAAAGAGACAAAAAGCTTCTCGTTAAAATATTATTCCTTATAAAAACAGAAAACTGAACGTTGACGGGTGAACACATTTCGACAGAACACCGGTTAGCGAGAACAGACTGCCTTAAAAACTAACATTAACTATAGCATAGCAAGTGAAACAAACGTTTTTTTATTATCACTAAATATGAATCATTTTAAGGTTTTACTGATGTAACTTAAGGCTAAAAGCTGCCGCCAGCTTATGTARGTTAAACTCATGTTAGCGAGCTAGTTAGCGAAGCATCGTCATGCAGAAAAATAAAACACATTAGGAAGAGATTACCTTACAGGGAAGAAATGGCTAGAGGAAAAGTCATCTGCTACTATGTGGCCTTTAAGCCTGGATTTTACAAGTTTTTATTTTATTTTATTTATTTTTTTGTGAGAATGTGCTCTGGCTAAGTATTCAGCTTGAAGCGTACCCGGTTTTGTAGTCGGAACTTAGTAAAGGGGAACACGGCCGGACCAATCAATAGTAGGAGCAACATATTACATCACTTCCTTTGTTTCTTCTTCCTGTGGTGTTTAAAGGCAAAACTGAAGGTGCGCATTACCGCTGCCTACTGGTATGGAGTGTGGTTAAAGATGATTTCGCTGAAATTTTTATCCTACTAAAATTATTGTGCTTCTTTTTACATTTTCAAATCTATCTATTC